AGGGGGGGGGGGGGGAACACAAAACATTAGATGGTAGTATTTAAATGGTGACATTTTTAGCCTGTGTAGGTACAAACTAATTTGTCCATTTTCTGATTGCTAATGGGTGCTTCAGCTCCTAATTACAGGTATGTTGCAAATCGTGGTTCAGCTTTTTGATACCTGTGCATTAGCTCTCTAACCCTCTTGACTTTTGAGTGGAAGGAGGGCACTCAAGTGTAACAGTGAGCAAGAATCTTACTGTCACACTTCTCTCTCTCTGGAGAATGTTGGTTACATCTCAGATGCAGATCCATATAAAGGAAAACAAACAGGCATCCAGCCCCAAAAGTCCAGTTTGTGGCTTTGAGTTTGGCATCTGTCTTTCTATACTGTGCTCTTCAGAAGGCTGACTTGGGCTGAGAAGCCCCTTAGGCTGAGTCACAAGCTACTGATGTGCAGCTACTAGGAAACAAGCAATGGTAGGTCTGAAATAGCCACACTTGGATTGTAACAACCAATTGTGATCCAGAGCTTGGTTATGCCCTGGTGAGAGAAGGTGCAGTGTCCATTCCTCTTGAAGTATGACCTCAAGAGGGACAGGAGGTCCTGCTGCCTGCTCTGGATATATTGGCCCCAAAAGTGGGAGCCCAGATTCAATTCCTTCCCAACCCTGCAAAATGCCTTTCCTAAAGGAACTGGAACCTTAATCCTCTAGACACTAAGTTACTTGTCCACCAGGCCACAAGCCAAGCTGCGTGGGGTAGTCTTGCTTGTGTAGGATCTATGATGAAGTGCTGCAGAGAGTACAAACATCACAGGGCCAGAAGAAAAAAATAATTGACTGTTCAAGCTAGGCACTTGGTGGAGGAAAGAGGGGGTTCTGAAGTGTGACTTCTCTGCTTCATGAATTTTAGGGTTAAAGAGTCAATATAATGAATAAGTGAATCCCTTCAACTTTTGTGACCTGTAAGGTTTGAGTGCCTTGGGTGGAAGATTGGAATCTACTGACCATGAAAATGTCCAACATTGATATGAAAAGATAGAAACATCTTTTATGAGGAATCTGAAATTGTTAATATGATGTGTCAGTATGTGAACTAAACCGGAACCTCAGGGGTGATAGAGCCATTCCCTCTCACTCACGGATCTTGGAGGGCTGGACAGGAGTTTGGTAAACAGCTGCACATTTGGCGCAAGCCTGTGTGTGTGTGTGTGTGTGTGTGTGTGTGTGTGTGTGTGTGCGTGTGTGTGTGTGCGCGCACAAGGGAGAGCCTTCAAAGCACAGAAGGGGTTGGTTGAATCAAGCAGCTGGCTGAAAGGGTACTCTGCTGCACATGGGTACCTAAAGTCACAATTACCAAAGATCAATCACTAGGTCTCTTTTGAAGAGTTTCAACTTGATCTGAACGGTTTATTAGGCTGTAAAACTCTTTCCTGGTGAAAGGGGTTTAGCTTGAACATAACTGAGAAGAGAGTCCTTTCATTTTAATTGATGATCGCTTCTAGCACAGCTGCCCTGAGCCCTGTGATGTTACTGTTGAGATGGTACAGTCAGGATTTAAAGCAGATGGAGGTTTATTGATTGATTCTTAATCTCTTAGATCAGTTTATACTATTTTTTCTCTTTAATAAGACTTAATCAGGGAACTGTTTGAGCAGGCTGTTGGCTGGGTCTGTGGATTTGCTTTGTTTGTATTGCTTAAGTGTTGGCTGATTTAAGAGCTCATGGAGCATACAGCCATGTAACAATGGCTAAACAAAGCGTATTCTTAAATGTAAATATAGGCTAAATACTGAAATTGTGACAACCAAGCAAAAGTGTTCTGTGTTCTCCATCCCCAGTAAGGACAGGACGATCATAAGGGTGTATCTACACAAATTTGCATCAAAAGGGCACTTCTGAACTGAGACTGCTGATTGTCCCTGCTTCTGTACCACAGTGACTCTG